CATGAGTTCAATGATAATGAATCAACAATATATATTAAATAAGTTATTTTAAAACAGAAACACACAAAGCAATTTCATGTTTTTATCAGTTGCCAAAATTGTTGTGACCAGAGGCTCATAGGAACCTAACCCTTTACTTCCTCTAGGAGTAATGGTTCAGTGTTTGCTAATTCAGTATTTAACTGACTTTATGGAATATAATTACTGTTAATAACTAGAATTGACTGTAAACACAAAAGTTATTATAGGTAAAATAGTATGATGTCTGGGATTTGCTTCCAAATTATCCACTGGTAGTAGAGGAAGCAGATACAGAGAGAACAGAGTTTTATAAATGAAACAAGATTGGCCATGTGTTGATAATTGCTCAAGGTGAGTAATGAGTAAACGTTAGAGTTCATTAATGTATTCTCTCTGCCTTTGCAGCTAATTAAATGTACAGCAAGATGACACTGGTTAAAAATAAGTACACTGTATCAAAATAATACATTTTGATATATTCTATTATTGAATAGAATATATCATATTCTTATCTATATATCAATATATAGAATTATTCTATATGAAACAGAATAATAGATTATACTTCTGCTTTAAGATGATGAGCTAACAACATAACATTGAAATCCCCAAGTCACATTGCTTTAAATCATTCCTATCAACATGGAAAACAAGAAAAGGGGCCATAAATATATCAAAAATTTGACAAATAGCTTAAAGACTGATGTATATAATCATAGAGACACATAAACCAAAGGAGTAAAATCATAATCCAAAACCTAAATAGAAGTCTACAGTGGAGGAAGATGCTGTCTTTTGTGAAAGAGGCCTCAGAGAGCTACAAGTACCCAATAAGTTAACACAGAGGGCAGAAGCCCACAGAAATCAAGCTGATTAATTAAGAAACCATCTACCAAAAAGCTTGGCCTTATAATCATCGATGCTCAGAACAGCTATCTGCAGCATTTATCTATAGCAAATGACCAAAGACTGCTTTCAAAACAACCATATGTCTGGCAAAGGTCCCTCCTATGGGTGTTAGAGTAAACAATATAATCAATACAACCAGAAAAGGGCCTAACTTAAAGGATCTAACTATCATTCACTACAATGAAGTCCCTCTACTACACACCTTTCAGGAAAGCCTGTCTAAGCCCTTCCCCAACCAGTTACAAGAATACCACAGTCAATTCTTCCATTCTGAGCAGAAGCCTTCTGGTAAACAGATACACAAAAAAATATAAAGCAAACCCATATAAGCAACATATCTATGTAAAGCCATGTAGAATTTCATTCAAAAACATAAATGAAGGTGCCTAGTCTTTCTCTTCATCATACATTTGAAGAAAATTGACATCATCAAAGAGAAAGACTAGGAAGAAAAAGAAGTAATCCAACAGAAAACAAAGATAATGCAAGAAACAGGAAAAACTTGAAAATTATACTCAGAAAAATTAAAGGGGTTGCTCTTATTAAGGAAAACTGCTTTTAAAAAGAAAAAATCAAGTAAGTAATTTCTTAGAAATAAAAATTTGATTTCTAAAATTCAAAAAACAAAAAAGAGAATCTTAGTTCATTTGGGCTGCTATAATAAAATAGCACTGGGTACTTTATAAACAACAGAAATGTATTGCTCATAGTTCTGGAGGCTGAAAAGTCCAAGATCAAAGAGTCAGCAGATTCAGTGTCTAGTTAAAGATTGTTCCTCATAAGTGACGCCTTCTGTGTCCTCACATGGCAGAAAGAGGCTATCCTTCTATAAGGGCACTAATCCTATTATGAGGTAGAGACCTCATGACTTAATCACTTTGTAAAGGCCCCACCTCTCACTACTATCACACTGGGTATTACGTTCTAACATATGAATTTTGGAGGGACATTCAGACCATAGCATAGAGCAAACAGAAAAAAATCCACTTAATGATAGAAGAAAAAGTAAGATCTTTCAAAAGATACAACAAAAACATAAAAAGATGGAAAATAGAAAAGAGAAAAGAAAGCCAAATCCAGAAGGTCCAACTTATGACACAGTGCCAAAAGAAAGAACACAGACAATAAAGAAAAAATATAAGAGAAGAACATTTCTCAATCAAAAAAAATCTTAAATTTGAGCTTGAAAAGGCCCACCAAAAGCTGAGAAGGATAAATGTTTAAAAGACCCAAATAAACAGATGATACTGAAATTTCACAATATCACATATAACAAGAAAATCCTAAAAGCTTCAAGCAAGTGTCTAGACAGAAACAAGAATCACCCTAGCCACTGGGCTCCTTGGTACTACCACTGTAGGCTAGAAGAGCTCAGGGGTATACTTTCAAAAATCTCAGAGAAATTACATAGACATAAATATTTTATGTTCAGCTGAAGTATTAGTCAAGCATAAGGGTAAAAGATAGACATTTTCAGCCATGCAAGGAGTCAGAAAATGTACCACCTATGCATCCTTCTGAGAAAAAATACTTAAAAAAAGTAATCTGATAAAAAAGAAAAGGAAGACATGGGATTCTAGAAACTATAGAACAAGTTCAGGAGTACAATGAAAAGAAAACCTAGGATGACAGCTATGAGTACATTTAGAAAGTAATTGGTCCAAATCCATACCATAAACCAAAGAAAACAAAGAAAAATGTCTTCTGCCCATTATAAAACTATCTGACAAGGAATATAGCCTTTTTTTAGTAAGAAAAAATAAAAAGAAGGGCAATTAAAAATTCCAGGGGGAAAATGTTGTCTAGGAAGCCCATGACTTAAATATTCAGCAGATCTATTAATAAATGGAGCATAATTTAGATAATTAATGGACTATACAGAAAATAATCTATTTGACTTCGATATTTAGAATACTCTTTTGACATGTACAGGTTGAATGGCATACCATTTTCACATCTCAATGGGTCCAAACATACTACATGGTTCTCTAGGAAATATTTACATAGTTTTAAAATTGTAAATACCACTTACAGGTTTCAAATTTCGAGTCAATTGAAAATCCAAGGTATCTCTGTGATTTATGGATTATGATATCACAATTACCTGGAAAATTCATTTTAAACTTTATTTTAGACCTGGACCATGAAAAAATAATTTGGGAGCTAGAGATTCAATAGATCAGGTGAAAGTCCCAGAGTTTAGCATTTTAATTCTCCATGTATATCTTATGTACACTAAATTTTGATAATCACAGCTATAAAGCAGTAATCTCCAAAATTTCTCATTATACATCTTATTAACAAAAGACTTTTGAGTACCCACCTCTAATATACAGTATCTGTGTTTATTTATAAATTGTATATATTTTATATATTATAAATATGAAAAATAGAAATTGCAAAGGGTGAGGACAGTGACAACAATATTTTAATATTTGCTTCTGCTCAACCAAGAGAAAAGTAAGTTTAGAAAGTTGAAAAAAATTAGCAAATAAAAGGAGGGGCGGATAAAGAAAAAAATCATAGAAATGACAAAGTCCTAAGACATCTCTAGAAGATTTATGCTGCTAAAAAACAGAGGAGTCTGAGTGATCATATTTCATCTCAAGGATGATTGAGGAAGTAATAAGGGTACTTCAACAAAAGACTTAATTTTGTTCATCAAAGGAAAAAATTGATTGATGAATTAGACATACAAGCAACGTGAGAAGAAACTGATTACACTATTTTAAGTGTTCACAATAACCAAGGATGGTAAAATTAGACATAATCAAGCACGTATCACAGAATTTTAACAAGTCAGATTTGAGACAGTACTAGAATGATCCCAAGGCTAGTGACTTCAAAGGTGAATACAGTTCAAGTTATCAAAAATAATATGCAGATTATGTGATCATGATTCCAATTTTTAAAAAAGGAAAAGGTATTCATACACTTAGCTTCTCATTTAGGAAATATAATGAAATCCTTTTAATAGGAAAGCAAGCGTTTTAATTGCTATGTCAAGTGTCCTGGGACCACTCAATACCAAATGTTTAGTAAGGAATATCCAGCATCACTCCACTGTTTCTAATGGCCAAGGAAAAGACAGAATAATCCACAGTTAAATGACTGGGCATCTCCTCTAGGGTAATATGTGAAATCTCTCAACCTATTCCAAAACACTTACTCTTCTCTGGCAAGGTCGTCCCAGGCTTTCAAGTACACACTACAATTACCCTAGGGGAAAACTGAGTCATGTCCAGGAAGTTCCCTACAGAGGCAGTCTATGGAGTAAAAAGCCAAACAACAGGGACTTTACCAATTTTTAAAGTTGAACTGTAACAGTTCAACAAACACACACACACAGTGTCTAAGACATAGTTTTATCTCTTATCTGCAAACTTTTCAAATATGTCAGAATATAAGGAGACAGAGCCTACCTGTACAACAGAATAAGTTGTTTTTCAGTTGCAATGAACCCCCAGATGGCATGTCACATAACCCAAGCATGCACAGATGAACCAAGTGTACCCAATTAGTGACCCTGGAGCCAGTGGGAACAAAAATGTCAACTGCATAGGGAACGTAAGTATCTCAACTGAGGGGCATGGGTCAAATTAAGGAGCAAAGGGTGTTTTGATGGCATGCAAACTTAAGAGTCATGCAGACTTAAAAGCCCAGGACCCAGCATCTCTCTTTGCATGACCCAACCACATCATGCCTTGTCCATTTTCCTGTCTCCTTTGAAGTTACCCTCTGCTTATAAAACCCGCCCCCTAGATCCCAGCTCAAAGAGACAGATTTGAGCATTGCCTCCTGTCTCTCTGCTTGTAGACCTTGCAATAAAGCCTTTTCTTCTCTCAAAATCTGGTGTATAGCATTGGCTTCCATGTGCATCAGGAAGCAAGTCTATTGCTTAGTAACAGTGCCTCTTGTAATAAATCCAAAAATTGTAATATTCTACTCCATATTCATTTGGAAATCAAATAAATCTCTTTAGGGCATTCATGACAAGTTTTAACTTTAATACTGGAAAGAAACAAGTTCAATAAACCAAATATTCATGAAAAAATAATCTGGGAACTCACCTTTCCACAACCAAACTGACTGCTTGTGTGACATCCGGGTTTGTCACCTGGAGACGTTTCCACAAAGACCATACAAATTCTTTGTCAGCCTTAAAGAAATGAAAGATATTTTAAATGCGCTGCTTTGTAGTAGTATCAGAGAAGACACTACATTAAATTAAAAATGAAAAAAACATAATTGCTTGATCCCTAGTTCTATAACTATACAAATAGATTCTTTCCTTAAAAGTATGGCAGGAAAGCTTTATTTTAAAAAGTTCTTACACCGGTAACCCACATTCATTTTTACCATTTCTGTCACCCATATTTTGGGATACAAATTTGGAAATGTTGAATATTAAGGTAAATCTGCCCTAAAAGGAAATTGCCCTCTAGATACAGCCTCATTTTTCATCTTCCCTTTGCAACAAAACTCCTTGAAAGAGTTGCCTATGATCACTGTCTCCATTTCCTCACCTCCCATTCACTCTGTAACGTGTCCTCCAGTAAGATTCCCCTCCCCACTATTATGCTAAAGCCATTTTTCAAGGTCCTCTATATTTCTAAACCAATGGACAATGGACACTTTCTGTCCTTACTCCCTAGGTTAGTTATTAACCCTGGCTGGCAGTTAAGAATCACTTTTGGTGAGCTTTTTAAAATACGGACTATCTAGAGATTCTGACTAATTGGTCTCAGGTAAGGTCCAAGCATCAGTGGTTTTTAAAAGTTCCTCAGGTGAATCTGTAGACTCAGGGTTGTGAACCACTGCCCTACATGACCTCCTATCAGTCCCATGATTTTATATTTTTCTCTACACTGAGACTCCCACATTTCTATCTCGAGATACAAGGTTCAGACTTGTATCTCTCACTGCTGATTCAACAATTCCACTTGAATGCCTAATAAGCATCTTAAATTTAACTCGTCCAAAATAAAATTATTGATTCCTTACCCTCTCACAAATCTGCCCCTCTGTATCTCAGAAACTGACACCATCTATTCATTTGTTCAAAGACCTAAAGCCTAGGAGTCATTCTTGGTTACTCTCTTTTCCTCACACTTTATATCCAAATCATCAGTAAATCGTATTAGCCTAATCTATAGAATATATCCCAATTCTGACTACTCTCCCTACTTCCACCACTATGACTCTAGTCCAAGTGAACAGCCCAAGTCAATTCAACAAACATCTGAAAACTATTTGTTTAAACAAATAATTTGCTTATCAGAACTCAGGGAAAACCATGGAAAGAGTTTACATGTAAAGTACAGCAATTCCATCTCTCGCCTAACTCTCCGCCATGGTCTGCTAGCCTTTCAGGTCAAAACTCTTCAATAGGTTCCCATAAGGTTAGGAAAACAATTCAAACTGTTTAACAAAACTACAAGACCCTGTGTGACCTGGCCCCATATACACCTCACCAACCTCATCTATCACTTTCTTGTTCACACTGACTTTCTCACTATACTTGAACCAGGGCTTTTACACATACTGTATCATCCATCAGATTTTCATACAAATTATTCCCTCCCTTCATCCAGTTATTTGCTTAAATAATATCTCCTGAAAGAAAATTCTTCCCTAACTGCTATAACATCCACCACCACCCACAAGTTCCTGGTAACCTCTTACCCTGTTTCATTTTTTTTTTTCTTATGACACATTTAATAATCCTGTATAATCCTGTATTTGTTTGGTTATTTGGGTTTACTTGCATGGAAGATACCTCAACTGGTGTCTGTCTCCATCACTAATTCTCTTTAAGTTACAGAAACTATTTTGGCTCTTTGCCACCCAAGTAACAGACTGGCATTTCTTGCCTTATGGACTATGTGACTAAGTTCTGCCAATGAAATATAAGTGCTGTTGTAAATTCATAGGAAACCTTAAAATTAAACTTATGTCTACCAAATGCGCTAGAAATATTCTTCCCGGTCTGTTGTTTATTTAACTTTATTTGTGATGGCAATACTTTTGGAAAAAGGAAGTTATTAATTTTACATAGTCAAATTTATCCACCTTTCCCATTATGGCTTATGGATTTTATGTGCCAGTTAGAAAGGCCTTTTCTACTCCAAAACTAGAAATATTTTTACCTGTTCTTTCTTTTAGAATTTTTGGCTTTTAATTTTATATTTTAAACTGACAAATTAAAATTATATATATTTATGGTATATAACATTTTGATATAGGTATACACAGATGGCTAAATAAAGCTAATTAATATAACCCATTGCCTCACACACTCATCATTTTATGTGTGTGTGTGATGAGAACACTTAAAAATCTACTCTCTTAACAATTTTCAAGCATATAATACATCGTTATTAGCTACAGCCACCATGCTATCCTTTAAGGCTGCTGATTTGAAACAAAAAGTAAGTTATTTTTTTAATAAAATGCTACAAATGGATTGCAGAACTATAGTATGCATGAGTTTTGTGGTTATTTAAATGCTACGTTATGTTCAGTGTAGATTGTATCTCTAATTACTGAAAAGACCCTCTTTTATATAACAAAAGCCTCCTAAAAAACAAAGAACTAGTTAGTTTTCAAACTGTTCTAGACATTATTAAAACAAAGAAACTACTGTCAATCATATTCTCTTTATATTTTCTCTTCCTTTGGGCACTTAAAGATGTTCTTTTAAAACAAATTAAAAATAAAAACCTTTAAAAAATACTCATTATAAAATTCTTTATTCTCACTGTAGAACTTCTAGACATAATCAAATAATCTAGCATTGAAATAAAAATTCCTACCCCTTCTCACAAAGTTTATTATACTCAGCCTATGAAACAGATGACTAAATGCTAGGTGATTTAGGTTTAAATCTGCTTAGAGATAGATTGATTTTGTCTTTTAAAATCAGCTAGCATGGAAATAGATACCATGCTTTCCAAATACCTAGTTTACTGTTTAAGCAATATATTAGGCCCTCAATTGACCTCTACTGGAGGAATGAATTCAAAAAACATCTGAAAACTATTTCCTACATTTAAACAAATAATTTGCTTACCAGAACTCAAGGATAACCATGGAAGGAGTTTACTTACAAAGTATGGCACAAAGTAGTCACTCAGTAAATTCATATCACAAAAAAATTGTACAAAAGGATTCACCAATTAGAATATATCTACTATCAATGGAATTAATTACATAACGCAGTCTCAAAATCATTTTTGTGAATGAATGGGCAAGGTTTCAACATATCTAAATTTCTAATATAAAATATAACTGGCTGAGTTCTCTGGTCATATACTCTTCTAATACCACATGATTCCAAAGTTAATTTCATCATTAAAGTTGGTAATGAACACATATTTCATTGAAATGCCTTAAATAATGTCTTACCTGAAATTGGTTTATAGGTTTAATATATAATTTTGGCTGATATTTAAAAAATAAGCTTTATAAACACCATATAAACATTACTTTTTCTCATCTGGAATTCTATAAATAATGATATATACACACATACACATAACTTCAGCATCCTTTGTTATAAATAACACATTCTTGAAATATACAATGAAATTAAAAGTAAGATGGAGTTAGGTTCTAAATCAATGAATAAATGTCATGGATGCAAAATTACCTTTTAGAACACCTTTGAAAATTCCTTAGGAAAAAGCTACATATGGAAGCGAACTTACTATCCTCAGTAAGTACAATAACAGACGGCTTTTCTCCCCACATTGAAATGAATCACTTTTTCTTCAGGTAGGCATTATGTGTAGTTTGCTTACTAATCTGGTAGCCTTATTTTTTAAAGTTTAATTAGGTTATACAATCACATAGAGTGGAATGAAATGCTTTAAGAGAAATACTGAATTGTTTTCTATTACATGCTTGTTCTGAGGCATCCCAATGGAGTATGTGGAATCACTCAAACTCTCTTCTTCACCAAGCAAATACATAACTGAATTCTCATAAGCTGAATATGAAACAAAACAAACTAATCTAAATGAAGCTACTACTTATGACCATGTACTAATTAGAAGGGTTTTTTTCCAAACTATATGTTTGACCCATTATTGGCTTCTGAAATTAATTTAGTACAAAAAAGCATTTTTAAAAGAATAGAATTGAAAAGAAAATATCAGAGTTCAAGATATACTGTTAAGGCAAATACTTTCTGAAATTATATGCTCTGAACAAGAGTCTTTAGTTCATTGGTGTCTTTTATGTATGCCTTCGCTCCTTACCAGTGAATAACAAAAATTGGAAAATGAAGAAAGGCCACATAAATGTCCCAAACTTGCTTAACCAAAGGCATATTAAATTTGAACAAGATAGTCACGTTTTTACAGCCTTGATTTAGCAAGGACCTATAAAGGGGGCAAAAGAATCCAATAGAACAAACTATGAGAGAAATGAGTATCGTTAATTATTTTATTAATCTAACTTAATGTTTTATTAATCTAAATTAATTAATATGTGTATGTGTGTGTGCTTACTAGGTTGAGATGTAAAATATTTTACTTTGAGTTGCAATTTTTAGCACAGTTTTAATACTATGTAGTCTTGGGTACTGTGAAGCCCAGCTGAATAAATAAGCAGAAGAATGAATTAAAAGGATGTAAAAGTGAGTATTTTATTACTTAAATGATTTTTTACAAAACAATTAGGATTTCAGTTACTACTTTTCCCAAGTTTTCCCTTGAGCAGGAGTCTGATTTGACTAGTTTCATGGTGTTGGATAATGCCAGCCTCATCTTAACATTACCGGAATGCCTATGATCATTTAACGGTATTAATACTACAAAAATCTTAAGAAACAGCTAGGCTATTACAACCGTCTCTATATTTTTACATCTGCCAAGAGTATTTCAATCATCTTCCTAGTCTATATATGTGCAAGATCACAAAAGCCAATGCCATGTCTGGATCCCCATGTTTAAAGAATGTTAACAGTGAATAGATTTGGGAGAAGGGGCTCTTCAGGCTGTTTCCAAAAGATTCACTTCCTAAATCAAGTCAGTCATAAAAAGTATCTTAGCTCCTTAGCCAGTCAAAGGCATAACTATGAGGGGAGGGACTGAAGGGTGAAAGAGTGCAGAAAATATGGGCAAACAATGACTGAGATTAGGACTTAAAGTGACAAAGGCCTTTATCAAGGGTTCACATCTTGTAACTCCCTAAGGGTAAGAGGTACAGATGACAAAATGCTTTAGTTCAGTGGTGTCTTTTATTTATCTCTTTGCTCCTTAACCAGTAAAGAACAGAAAATGGAAAAATGAAAAGAGGGCAGACACATAAAATCTTCTGACTTTAAACAATGGCATATTAAATTTGAACAAGATAGTCCTGTTTTTACAGCCTTGACTCAGTCAGCAAGGAGCTACAAAAAGGGCAAAAGAATTCAATAGCACAGACTAGGGGAGATAATGAATATCATGAATTGTTAACCTAAACTGATGATACTGTTGATAAAGTTACCTTGGTGTTTAGCAGTGCCCAGCTGGTTTCTACCTTGAAGACAGTAACTTAAAGACCTATTGCTGAGTGAGTTCCCAAATTCAATCTCACAACCCTGTCTAAAAGTTCTGGTAAAATCAGAGAAGAGACGGTTTGTAAGGGTGCAAAACTACAGGAAAACTAAATCTCTACGAATATGAGTACAGTCGAGCTCATCCTTAACAAACTCTGCAAATAACAGGAAAGTAATGCTAATGCAACTGATTTAGCAAATGTTTTCTCATCTGCAAGATCACAGGAAAATGAGATTTCTCACTCAAAGACTAAGGAACTACCATAGTTGGTTATTAAGTAAAATCTCTTGTAAGTTCCCAGCTCCAAGGCTCCCTAAAAATTATTTGTCTGTGTTTACAACTTAAGTTTAACTACGTAAAAACAAGGACAAGTGTGGGTTTGAAAATTAAAGACAGGCTCCTCCTTCATCTATGGATTTTACTTTAACAAAAGTGTTTACACTTTCCTGTTCATTTCAACTCATGGACTGCACTCCACTGGTGGGTACCAGGTACCAACTACAGTAACCACCTACAACTTGGGCAGGGGAAAGGAGGGGTGTGCGACTGCGTGTATCCAAGTGACCTAAACCAAACGCGGGGCACGGAGGCGAACCCTGTCTGGCGGTGTCCGGCATGGGGCAGGAGGCCGGGGCTGGGGAGCCGGGCGCTGCTGCATCCCTCCAGCCCCAGGCAGCGGGCCGAGCTGGGTGTGGGAGCAAGGAGGGAGTGTCGCCGGGCGGGGCTGGGTAGGGCCCAAACCCGCGGAGCGACGCAGTCCCAGGCAGAGGGAGAGAGGGGCGCGCCTCCCCGCGGGTCCCGGCCCGGCTGTGGAGGGAAAAGGCCGGCGGCGAGAGTCCTCGATACCTGACACAGGGCCAGCTCCTCCTTTAGGCTGCTCAGCTCTTCCTCCAGCAGCTGCGTCCGGGTCACCATCGCCTCCTCTACCGAGATGCCCTCTAGCCGCCTGGACCCCATGGGCGCGCTGAGGAAAGGAGCATGAGCCGGACCTGTCCCCTCTGGCCCTCGCTGGCCCCCTGACCCTTCTTCGCCCCGCCAGATTATATCACTTTCGTCCGCGACGACCTCCTGCTCTGCGCTGTCAAGTCCCGAGGCCTCGCTGCGCACTGCGTGTACCTCAGCTCCCCGCCCAACACGTGGGGACTTGGGGCCCAACTGTCGCGCTGGGGGCGGAGGGAACTGTGAGGGCGGCGAACGCGCCGCCATGGCCGCGGCTGCTAACGAGTCAAGTTCCCTCTTGGAAACTCCCCCTTCCCGTCTCCATCCCGGCGAGCTTGGAGCGCCGAGATGCGCATGCGCGAGTCTTTTCCCGCCTTGGCGCGCGGGGTCTCGTGCTCTCAGGCTCTGGCCAGCTTCCCGCGGGCCGCGCGCCCGGCGCGAGCGTTGGGCTGCGCACGCGCTGTGGCGCGAGGGGCGAGGCCACTCTGTCCTGCGCGCGGCGGAACTTTCCCTGCCTGAGTCCTTCTCCAGGAACTCTTCGATTTCCCACCTGCACATCCCACCTAGCTTACGTCCCACCTCTTAAAGCCTTCCTTGACAAGCCCCCAGCCCCAAATGATCCTTAACTGTGAATTCCTCCTCCTTCAAGGCCGCTGCCAACTCGTTTGTCACGTTTCATTGACCGCCCTGTAGTGCTAGTTACATGGCTAATCTCTCCAGAGCTGTTGTAAACTCCTTGAGGATCAAGGAATAAGTTTTACACTTAAGTGTTTTCTTTACTCCCCTTGGCAAAACTGCTTTGCATTACAGCTGACAACTAGCTGACTGATGTCAAGGAGACATGGAAAGCCATTTGCTGAGCTGGGACTATCAAGCAGGTTTTCCATTTAAATTATGATCCTTTGTACACCCTTGTCTTTTGTTTTGCAAGAGTCATGATTTTCTTTGAGTTTTATGTCAGCTGCTTTATGCATTGGCTGGATATCAAAGTGAGCGTTTCCCACACTGCCCTGCCGGACAGTTGGGGTTGAAATCGTAATTTGGAGCATGGTTCGCGAAACAAGACCTGCTTGCTTTATCTTTCTTTATCTTTCATTCTCTTTCTTTCTTCCTTCTTATGTGGTTTCTTCATAAACTTTGAATAGGAATAACTTTATCTTTTTTTGTCCTTAAAATACTTTCTTACTATTTAAGTGTTAGTTAGGACAGGTATGTTGAGCTGGCACCAGAATTTTACTGAAAGCTAGATCGACCTCTTCTGCAGAAAGAGTTCCAAATGACTTGGAGAGAACTGAAATGGGGGTTGAGGGACTGTAGAAGTAGGGACGTGACCACTTTAACTGATGACTTCATGTAATCAAAATCACAGTATCTGTGCCCAAATCCAGTCAGCATGCCAAAAGACACCTTCCCAATTAGAACCTCACTCAGGTGAGATGAGTGGGCTTCCCTCCCACTGAAGGTGAATACCTCACAAAATTAATAAAGCATTACATTAGAAAAAACACATATAAACCTCTCTTAGAAGTAGCTACCATATTGAGCATTTACCATATGCTGAGTGCAGTGATAAGTACTATTCATATATGAACTCATTCAGTTCTTACATCACCTTAAATTAGATACTATTATCCCCATTTTAATAGTGAGGAAACTGAAAGAAGAGAGGTTATTGTAACTTGCCTAAAGTTCTACATCTGTTATTAGAAAAGCAAGGATTTCAATCCACTGAACTCCACTTGACTCTAAAACCTGTGCCTTTGATCTCTACCCTTACTCCACACCTGTCACATGAAATACAGCATTAGGTCAGATAGCAGGTGAGATTTCACTGGGCATAAGACTGGGAATTCTAACCACATAATTCACATGTTTGGCTTGAAATCAAACTGAATGCACATATTAATTGCTGTGTGTCATTGACTCAAAAAGGCATCATTTCGTATTTCACCTGATTATAGAAAGATTCTTTTCAAAAGGAGTGAAATCTCTTCTATTATGTATAATGCATTTATATATATATATATATATATAATGGTGGTTTTATATATATATGGTGGTTTTATTTATTTATAGATCGATATATAGATAACCACCCATCCAAAAGGACAATATCCTGAATCTGACTAGGCAATTTTTTAAAAATTTTCTAGAAATTTGTGGTAAAATACATATAATGTAAAATTTACCATTATAGCCATTTAAATATGGCAACAAATAAAGAACAATTCAGTGGCATTAACTACATTCATTATGTTAAGCAACCATCACCACTAGCCAGTTCCAGAACACTTTCATCACCTAAAATGGAAACCCCATACCCATTAGTCACTCTTCATTCTCCCCTCCCCATCCCCCCAGGGAACCATTAATCTCCTTTATGTCTCTATGTATTTGCCTATTCTAGATATTTCATATAAATGGAACCATACAAAACGTGGCCTTTTGTATCTGGTTTCTTTTACTTAGCAAGATGTTTTCAAGGTTCATCCATGTTGTAGTATATATCAATACTTTATTCTTTTTTATAACTGCATAATATTCCTTTGTATAGATATACTACATTTTGTTTACCCATTTATCAGTTAATGGACATTTGGGTTCTTTCCACCTTTTGCCTATTGTGGGTACTATAAACATTCATCTACAGGTTTTTGTTTAAACACCTATGTTAAATTTTTGTGTATGTATACCTGTAAGTAGAATTGCTAGGTCATATCATAATCCTATATTTAACTTACTGAGGAACCACCAAACTTTTTTCTACAGTGGCTGTGCCATTTTACATCTCCATAAGCAATATGTTAGAGTTCCAATTTGTCAGCATCCTAGCCTGTTATTTTCTGTTTTTGTTTTGCTTTGCTTTTTTATGGCCATCCTAATGGGTTTGAAGTGCTATCTCATTGTGTGGTTTTGATTTGCATTTCCTCAATGACTCAAGACATTGAATATCTTTTCACATACTTCTTGGACATTTGTTTGCCTTCTTGGGAAAAATATCTACTTAAGTTCTTTGACTACTTTTTCATTGGGTTGTTTGTCTTTTTGTTGTTCAGTTATAAAACCTCTTTATTGGTAGACAATTTCTAAAGAAAAGAAACATGTGCACAGTTCCAGAAGTATACATACAGAGTTCTTTCTTGTATTAGTTATTTGCTGAAATGACAGAAAATGTATGAAACATTGAATATTTATACTGGTGACTCAGAAGGATAAGTCAAAGATCTCTGCTGATACTTGAATAAAAATGCCCAAAACAATTAAGATATTTCTGCTGTTCAACTTTTTGTTCAAATATTTAAAGGGATGATTTCTGTTCTGCAGAAATACATAATAAAGTCTGCTGAGGATGAAGTATATTATTAATAGAATATAGAGACACATAATTCTCTCAATATTACCCTTGTATAGTTGACATAATGGGGGAAATATACAAATTAATATGATATTTTAATAGCACCTATCACATTAATTTTAAAAACTTATGTTTAACTTCTGTTTAAAAAGAGAAAAGTACTAGCAGTTTCTCGGCCTTTATGTTTCTTTGTTTTCAGAATACAGAATTTTAAGACATGTCTATTTCTACTTTACCAATTTGGTATAATCTTTATTTGGTGAGCAAGAGGATATAATCAAGTTTTGAACCACTATTAAATATTGGTAAGACCTAAAATATCATAAGTTTCTTTTTATATCATTTTAAAATTTTATCTCAAATTTTAATGTTTGCCATGTTAGAGATTTGTATCAGGAATCACTTGCCACCCAACTCTTTCAGCATTAAAAGAGAAACTCACAAGCTAGAATGTGCCAATGTGACGCTTGAATCAGTGGCAGACATATTATGTCAGTCTAGTATGGAAAAATCTCAAGCTAGGAGTTGGTGGAAGTAAACCAAGAGAATTTCTTTCTTACAATTACTTACTTTCTTACAATTACTTACTTACTTACAATTACTACAATTTTGTTTGAGCAATTCCTGGCAACTGTTAATCCTGCATCAGTCCTCAGAATGCTCTAGGTCAAGATTATAGGTATAAAAGGAGATACCACAGTTCCAGTTGTTCCACATGATTTTCACATAGTTCAAAAATTATGACCAGACTCAAGGATGAGACACATGGCATCTCACCATCAGAGGTTCAGACTCTTGTTTCCTCTCCTTCTTGGTGAGGTGATTAGTCAGAGTATAGCACCAAGTTGATGGCAACTCATATTGAGTACTTTAAGGAACAATTAAAACAAGGACTAATTACAAATGCAAGAGTAGGATTGAGGAAAACTATGAGAAATAATGCAGGACCCTGAAGCTAATCAAAGGGTGGGAGATATTATCACCCTTATATCACCCTAATATTATCACCCTATTATGTCCTTTGAAGGGACAAGGGGAATGAGCAGCTAATGGTACCAGGAGACAGAAAGGGCTGTGTAAAGAGAGCTGCCTGGTGAGAGGCACAGACTCAAGAGTTAGGGAGCCAGTGGAACAAACACTCCAACCTCACTCTTCCCTCATGCCCATCTCCTTGTATGCTTCCCACTTGTGAACACAGCCACCTCCTACAGTTCAGCCCACCAGGACACAGGGCATGGTGGAAAAGATCAAGAGACAATCTGAAGGGGCAAACAGAAGGTATGTGCTCAAGAGGCCAGTATAGTCGAATAAGCAGCGACTGGGACACAGTCCTAATAGCACCCTATTATCGCCAATAAATGATTTAAAGTAATAATCTTATGTCATTCTCCTGGCAACTGGTTAGACATTACTTTAACTTCAACAAGCCCACAAAGAAGAAAATGTGAATCACACATTACAAAGAAGAGGTAACAGAATTCAGGCAAGAGTTATGTAAAGAGTTAAGTTTCTTATGAACAGAAACCCTACCAAAGGGAGCACCAAAGGGAATGTACCTATGTACTTTCTTTATCATCTTCACATTCTTCATAAAACTCAGTTCTTAGGTCTAGACCACACTATCTAATTCTGATTATCCTAAATATTATATATCCCAAGATAATATGCATTCAATTTATATTTTGCATCTCTTTTATTATTTTATACTGGTTCTTATATTTCATATACTTATGGTTTGTATCTCTTATTTATATAGAGGTTTTTTTTTTTGAGACAGAGTCTCGCTTTGTTGCCCAGGCTAGAGCGAGTGCCATGGCATCAGCCTAGCTCACAGCAACCTCAAACTCCTGGGCACTAGTCCCTATTTCACAGTGAATGTTCAACAAATATTAGCTGTCACTAAATTCTTATTAAGCATTATTAGCTATTACTTAAGTTCAACTTGTTAGACTTAACCCTATTGTTTTGAATTCATCTTGAATTCCGTCTGCTCAGCTTTATGCTGGCTGATAATTTGATAAATA